AAGGGAGGGCAACAAGTGTACTTATTTATTATGCTCCTCAGCTCCAGCTAGTGGCCATAATGTAGTATTACATAGCAATACACTATACACCATACACAACACATACAATCCTGAAAATAAATAGCATTTCTACTTTGCCCTATCTTGTGGTTAGCACCATGCTTTTACAAAAACATGAAACAGGATACATCTAGATCATTTTTTACCTGTCACTAAGAATTATATTGAAGTTTGTCTTAAACTGACAATTATTTCTAGGCTTGGCTGGTGTATTACCTCATGTTGATATTGAATTAATATCCAGTGGAATCTGACCACTACCATGCTCTGATTCAATATATCTGAAACAAATTCTTTCTTTGTCTAGGTTTGATGACATCACTATAGTGCAAACATATTGGAATGAATTGACAGCATTATTGAAAACTAGTAAAGAAAACTGTGTATCTACTTAATGTATAAGGTGTAAACATTATGATATTGATGATGAGCTGATAATGCTAATCCTAAACTAAGGACTCAATGCTTCTTTATAAAATCTTGTCAATATTCCATCAAATTACTTCAAACACTTAAAGGTTTATTCACGACAGAGCCTAAGGATCCAGCCGTAGCTTCGGCTGATCCTTCGGCTCTCTTCAGTCGAACCGAAGGGCTGCTGTACGGGCTATTTACAATAGCCCGTACAGCAGCAGAGTGGCTCTGCCGAGCAGTAGGCATATGCTTCGGCTCGGCTGAGCCGTAGTGACAGCCAAAGGGTCGAGAAAGGTTGGCCGAAGGGCTGACCTTTCTCCACGCGAATGACAGCTGGGTGGTCTGGCAGGTGCCGGCCAATAGGAAACAGTTGGACGGAGGCACTATGCGGCAGGAGTTTGTCACGTACGGTCGGGTCAGCGTGCGTCGTTTTTTTTCTTCTTTAAAATATATTTTTTCTTTTACTATTTTTGGTTAGTTTGTTTAATAATTTTTTAACATTTTTTTTCATTCATTGATTTCACTTTTTTACTATTCTGCTCGCTACCTCGGTGGTACCGAGCAGAATAGCCGAGCCGAATGCCGCTATTCAGTTTTTCGGTTATTCCGCTTAATTCGGTTATGCACTTACTGCCGTTCAGCCCCGGCTCAGTCCCGGCTCAGTCAAAGTGCAGAAGAATGTTTGGCAGGCAGCTGATGTGCGGCTGATTTTAGCTGATGTACGGTTGAAATCAGCCGTACAAGGCTGGAGTGAATAGCGGAACAGCGTTTGGCTCACTTCACTTCGGCTGGGTTATTCACTCGGCTGCCTTGGGTAGCTAAGTGAATAACCCACTTAGAGGTTATCTCAAAAGATGCCCCACTCTCGTCTTACCATAGGAAAAATAATTGCAGTTGCATGAGGTACATATTCTGGCTACAATACAAATGTGCATTTTGGTCTTTTGGGGAGCATGTGAACAGATGTGTTTAAAATGCTTGCTTCCCAAGCATTGTGTATCAACAATATTAGCAAAGATAGGAATATCTGGCTTTGACCTTAGGTGACCCATAAAAAGCTTCAGTTTTTTTATAACATCCTTAATCAAGTTATTTGGAACAATAGAAAAATATGATGACTTCTCTGAACATTAGGCAAATTGAATCATAGTTATAGTTCCATATGGACCTGAAAGTGCAGTAATCACAATACACATTTTGAAACATCTAGGCCAGATTTACCCTTTAGGTTTATTTGCCGCAATTATGTTAGTGCTATGTTGTGGATTAACACGTGTTGCAGCAAACTAGCTCATTTATTTAGAATGGGCTGCCAACACAGCCACAATGGACCATTTATTGGACCTGCTCCCTTTTTTCTAATACAATGCAATGCACAGATGGTTCCATTCAAAATGACTGGCATCAATGTTTGCGCGTTACCACGCATTGTGGTAGCTGTCTTGAAGTCCTTTATTCACCAAAAAAAGCATTCGTGAAATTGTATTCTCTTGTGGTAGCTTGTGCCTAGACAGTTTTTAAACCTTAACTCTTTGTGGCTCAACATTATCTCACTGTTATCTGTACTATATGCTGAAGTATTGCAACCATATTTCCTAAGTGCTGCCCCCTTTTAAAATATAAAGTTTACCAGGGTAAATCTCCCATTTTATTTTACAAATAGTAAAAATGTATTTCTAAACTAAATGATATACAGACATATTACATGGTTTAGAATTTGAGTCATATAAAATAATACCATAAAGGAAAAGCAAAGAAAAAAAATAACTTCAATATACTACTCTTTCCTAAATTATACATTTGCTAGTCATTAAAATATGCATGGAAATATTGGTTACTTTCCTAAAACATATCATACTGCATGTAGATCACAAAAAATGCCCTTTGTGTCTCTTTGCTTTCATGAATTTGTATATAGCTGTTTTACATTTCCAAATATATGTAAAACACACGTATGTTTATTAGAATCTGATTTGTAAACAATGGATTTCAGTTTGAGCTTTGGAGCCAAGTAAGGAGAGGAAAAGCAAGTTCACTTTAATTAAAACCCCATCAGCTACTTATACTTTCTTCAATCCCGCACCACACTTTAAGGTTGCTGGCATTAAAGGTATGCTGGTAGGGTATGGTGGCATGTGAATTTCTCCCACAAGTGCTGGTGCTTGGAGACTGGACATTCAGGCAACCTGTGCTGTCACATGGGAGCAGGGATAGAGTCCTTAGCCCTGAGTATGCTAAAAGTTAAGACCCTGGAACTTACAGAAACTTCCTCTATTTGCTCCCAGTAGATTAATGGAGCAGTGGAGGAATGAAAGGCAAGTATAACTGGTGGCTATTGGGGCCACCCCTAAAGTGAACCTGTTAATTTGCACCGCATGTGCAAAGCACAGTATTACTTTAGGTAAGTCAATTTTAAAAGGCTTTATCTCCTGCCTAAAACATATTACCTAGCCAGCACAGCAATTAACTAGAGCATGGCAACCAATTAGCTTCTATCTTAGATTTACAAAGCTTAACTGAACAAACTAAAGAGATAAGCTGATTGGTTAGTATGGGAACTGTTCCAGATTCTGTCTGCTCCAGTTTTGTTTATAGCACATACACATGGTTGATTATAATAACAGTTACTCATGAATTTTACATATGCTTAAAGTTAATAAATATGCACAGTAGTAGACAATAGGACACGGTTGGGGTTACGTACAGGTATCTATGTGTGTGTGTGTGTGTGTGCGTGTTTGTTTATATATGTGTATGGGTGTGTGTATATATATATATATTGTAACAAGGACACTCCACTGAAGACCGGAGGTGCAAGTACAATGCAGTTTATTTGCTTTCAAAACGAAAGATAACACGAAATCCAACATAAATAGCTTGCTGTAGCATAACAGATAGGGGCTCACCAATCCTCGAGTTGTCACGTACACTCAAGGTGTCCCAGTCTTTTAACAAGTCTCTCTCGCAGCACTGCTGCTCCGGCCTCAATCTTTAGGGCCACTGTCTGGTTCCTCCAGACAACAGCAATAACATGCCAATCCTCTCAATATGGTTCACAAACCCGCAGCTCCCTGCTGCCCTGGCCTCCACACTGACTCCGGGGTGGAGCTCTCCTGACTCACAGGTGGGGCCCTGAACACATCCCAGCACACACTTCATGAGGGATGTAAACAGGTGCACAATCAGGTGCTGGTCACCACCAAAGCATGGACCCAGGAATGGAGATTTCTTCCCACCCAGAGCTCTAAGAAATCTCCTGGCTCCAGGATCCCAACCTTGATCCAGAAAACCCAGAAAGAACTGAAAAGGCAGTTCTCTCCTGGTACCAGTAATGTCTTCCTGGAGCCACTCAGCCCCTCTGGCTGAGAACCCTGGGTGACTTTGAGGCCACCTAACACCGTGGTATTGCCTCACAATGCCACAATATATATATATATATATATATGGAAAAACACTTTTTCACAAACTATTAGTGATTGTAAATTAATTTTAGGGAAGAGGATTGTTTATACATGTTTAAGTATCAATTATTTGTTTTTGATAGCACATCATATTGTATATGAATGTTTAAATACACGCAAAATACCTTTCTTTATTAAATATAGTAAATACACATATTGATTGTAATTACAGATGAATTTTTATGGTTTTGAAGAACACTAGATTTGCAAATTGATAAAATATGAAACACGGTGTTGATTTTATTTATTTATTTGTCTTCTGCTTTTTCTTTTGCCTCCCTCTCATCTTTGGGGAATAAATTCGGGTTGTTTGTTTTGTATGGTATGTAACTGTATTTTTAATGTATTGTTTTGTCAAGAAGTAAAACATTGTTAATAAAAAAGATTTAAAAAAAAACAATTACCAAAGAATGTTGGACAACATCATTTACCTTTCTGTATTTATTTAAATATTAAGGATTTCAAAATATATTGTATTCTTTGCAGGGAAACATCACAATGATTCATAGAAAATTCGCTCAGGTTGTCAAAAATGTTATAGATTTCAACACTAGAATTGCTATCAAGATATCACTGCCACGTGTTCACCTCAAGGTGTATTCTGGGGCTTCTGGAGTCACAATCAAAGCTTTATTTGCTGTGTTAGTTCCATTAGCATGTACAGTCTGCAGCTGCCTTGAGCTAATCTTTTTCATTCCGAGAATTGGTTATTATACAGATACTTCTGTATTCTTGTCAGACTACAGATACTTCTGTAGTCTGACAAATAACTAGAATTACCCATTTAATCAATTAACACTGTTGTGCTTAATCTACAGTCCTCTATTATTATTTAATTTTTACTTTCATATTAGCAGAGATAAATTCACCTTTTCTCCTGTCCTTTCAACAGTAGTGATTTTCAAGGACATGTCTGTGTGCATCTTAATTCATATGTAGAGGTGGTATAGTCTGGAGCCCAGAAGATGTCACAATGCCCTCAGGAACACAAGCCTACAATTGGATTTCTATATTTTTCACAAATTGCATTTCACAGCAGCAGAAAAACAAAAAAGAAAATACCTAAACAATCAATGGTAATCAAGTGAGAAGTGAAAGGTATTGTTGCTGAGAACATCCTGTCTTTTAGATGTTACAAAATATTAGATTAGCATTGTTGCTTACTCCTTCCACAATAGCCTACACATTTAGATTCAGGTAGGCTCCTATGTATCATAAGGCCTATGAGGATTTACATTTGAAAAATGTGCAGCTAAATATGTTTTAGAAACTGTTTTTAACATTGTAGTATTGTAATGAAGAGTATTCTCTTTATTGGTCAAATACCAGTAAAGTTTTTGTTAGATTTGATCTGTAAGTTCAACAAAATGCAACAATAACTTGATAATAACTATATGTACTGTATCTTGAGTCTCAATAAAACATGCAAAAACAAAAGTTCAATGCAAGTATTGCTGAGCTAATTTAGAATTTTTATATATTTTTTATTTATGTTTTCCATGCATGATTTTGTTTGTGGTGTATATTTACATTGAATTATCTTGACAATACTTGTGTAGCGCTACCCCTTAAGAAGCTGCTTGATAGAGAGGTCCTTCTACTGTCCGATGCATATGCGTTCGGCTCGGCTGAGCCGCTCGGCCATGATCGGGAGCTGTACGGGCTATTGTGAATAGCCCGTACAGCAGGCTCTCGGTTCGAATTAACCGATGGACTCCCGTAACCGAAGGTAGCCGAAGGATCGGCCGAAGCTACGGCTAAATGCTTCGGCAGCTTCGTGAATAGACCCCACAGTGTTGATCTGACCTAGCTGAACCCAGTCTCTCAGATGCACCTGTAAAGTTTCCATGGGCTTTATAAAAAGTAATGCTCCATAAACAAGAAGTGGGTTAGACAATATACACAGCAATATAATATTGTACAGTAGCAGGTTGGATACAATGACAGTAAACAAGAGGCCCATTTACAGAACAACCGACAGAGCAGATCTCTCCATGCAGCCAGCACACAGCAGCACTCTCCTTGCAGCAGCACAGAAACAGCAACAGTGCAATAGCAACTATCTCTGGTGGTCACAGCACAGCAGCTCTGCACTCCAAATTCATAGTAGCACAGTCTCTGCCCACAGGTCCCAGTAGCAGCTCTCCTCTGGGTACAGCCCTGTGAGCCTGCCTGCATTGTAGGTCCTCTCTCCTCCTGCTCACTCCATGTGGCTCCCTTTCCGTTCTGTCCTTAGCCTCGGCTCTGCTCGGGTCTGGTGGGAAGCAGTAAATCCCAGTCCTCTTACTGCTGTTACTAAGGGCGGGGTTCCTGTCCAGGCTGTGGTTACACTCAGTCGGAGTCCTTATAACACTTTCTCAGGGCTGCTGTTCCTCCTGCATTGAAGACACTTTTCCTGCCTAGTACAGTTCTCCAACCAGTAAGAGTGAATGACAAGCTGCATGGAGATACATTCTGCAAGGAAAATTAATGGAGCCAAAGACTAGGCTACACTTGCACTACCAAGCTGTTGTTCTTGCATGTTTTTATCGAGACTATATTGAAATTATATGTACGGCCTATTCAATGGAGAGAGTCTATTCTATAATATTCCCAGCCAAAAATGTGGGCTTTTAAAAACTTTTTTCTCTGGGTGATACACTTTCCTGTCCCAGAGGCGAATTGATGCAACTCTGCCAGCAGAGAGTACATTTGTGGAGTTGGAAGACCCCTAGAGGAGGATCGGGTGTAACAACGCTACCTTCTCTGTGATGGGTACTGGTGATCTAGGTGCATAAGAGAATCAACTGAAGGAGACGAACAGCGTAGAGTGTCTTTACCTGTAGTGGCTATATAGACATTAGAGCTGGATTGATTCCTTCCTCACAATCACAATTTGACCTTTGTGATGCAGTAGGTCTGGGGATCTAGTGAGTGCTTTCATGTGATGTTTGTGTGACGGTTATATTGTAGACATGCTGTAATTTATATCGGCATGGTGTTGTCACAAAGAGTTGGTGTTGGCCCTGGACTGCAAGAGTGATTTTACTGGTCACACCTCCTGGAACAGCTGTGGTCGATCACTTGAAGGCAATCTCAGATAGGTAAAGAAACAAACTGCTTTGTGGGCATTTGGGAAATGGTGGGGGCAGTTAGTGATAGGAGTGAGCTTTTATATTTTGCCTGGAGATGGTCTGGCAAACAGGAGGACCCAAGTGTTTAATTTGATAATATACAAACAATATAATAGAGGGCAATAGTCACTACAAAGTTTTTGGATGTCTAGTTGAAACATTTGTTATGAATAGCATTTAAAAAATTCTATGGGGTCTATTTACCAAGCTGCCGAGGGCAGCCGAGTGAATGACCGATCTGAAGTGAAGTGAGCCGAACACTGTTCGGCTATTCACTTCAAGCTGGTATGGCTGATTTCAGCCGTTACATTGTGTGAAATCAGCAGTACATCGGCTTGCTTTGCTTGATCGGGAGCTGTACGGGCTATTTTGAATAGCCCGTACAGCACCCTTCGGTTCTACTGAACCGAAGGGGTCCTGGGGCCGAAGCTAGCCGAAGGATCGGCCGAAGCTACAGCCAGATCCTTTGGCAGCTTCGTGAATAGACCCCTATGTTTTTATTAGTAACAGGAATTTTTTTTCAGAATAAATAAAATAATCGAAGATGTATTGAATTGCCCAGAAAGGAAAGCCCAAATGTATTGTGAACTAATGTGTAGGGCCAATTAAACCCTCCAACAATCCCCATCAATACTATCTGCCCCACATAGACCTCAGATCAGATAAATATGCTTTTTTTCAATGCTATGGCATAGGTTGAGTGATGCTGGAATTGTTATTTTAAGGGTGGCTCAAGAGAACAAGGGGCCTAAGTGAATGTGCACATACAGAAAGCTGTGGTTGTGGCAAAATGTCAACACAGTTTTAAGGCATTTGTTAGTGGTTAGCACTTCTGCTTTGCAGCACTGGGGGTCCCTGGTTCGAATCCTGGCCAGGTCACTGCCTGCAAGGAGTTTGCATGTTCTCCTTGTGTGGGTTTCCTCTGGGTACTCCATTTTCTTCCCACACTCCAAAGAATGATAGTAGGTTAATTGGCTCCTGCCTAAAATTGGCCCTCGTATTTATGCACGTGTGATAGGGACTTTAGATTGTAAGCTCCTTGAGGGCAGGGACTTATGTGAATGTGTACTGTGTAAAGCGCTGCATAAAGTAGCGGCGCTATATAAATACCTCTACTAATAAATAAATAGCGATTAATACTTCAGTCCTGAAATGCTAATCAACCATTTACCAGCCCTCCTACCCAGATCAACAATTATACTGAAGAGAGAAAAGCTGGTGGCTAAAAAGTAGGCATGAATTAAAAGGAAATGGTTAACAAGAACATTAATTTATTTGCCGCACACATATTCTGCAGTTCTTCTACTCACAAAATATGTAATAAATACTGTGCTATAAGTGAATCTCGCACAGATAAACCTCAAGACAAAGAACCATTTTTTAAAACTAAATTTTTCATGACTTTTTTGAGCACATATATCAAGCTAGCACTTTGCCTAAGTCTACCTTAAAGAAAAACTTCACTGAAACAGTTAAATACTATTTAGAAAGCAGCCACTGGTAAGAGAGAAACACGTTGGTCAAGAATAAATAATGTACAGTACAGAAGTAGCAGTAAGGTTTCTGTAATGTAAAACATTACATATTGAGTGCAGGGGTTAGGAGTATGCTACATACAACACAGCATATGTGCATGTGCCTGATTACGTTGGTGCAAAACTATGCAGGCACCATCAGGGGGAAAAATATGAGCTGCTAGAACACAGAACTGGCACTTGCTGGCACGCTGCTGAAGAGGGGCACTAACGCATTGGTGTACAGTGAGAAAGTCCTGCATCAAAGTGTAACCTTTGATTGCAGGGCCTTATTATTGCAAAAGCCAAAGACAGCACAATTTAAGAATGAAACATGCCCCCTGAAGCTATGCTATACTAGACAGGGCTCAGGTGAATTTTTTTAAACACTGGGCCTGACATTTACTATAAAAATAATCTTCATTTGATTTTACAATATTCCAAGCAGTATGGGGAAAATGTGTTTTAGTCAAGCTAATGATTTAAAAATCCATCATATTCACTGTAGTGTAGAGAAAGTAGTCTATTCAAGCACTAGAATGTAACAAAGCAAATTACTGCCACTAAAAATGAACACTATTCAAAGCTTACACCTTTCAAATTCAGAAAAAATGACTGCCTGAATCTTTTGTGTTTATAAACTATAACCAGCTGAGTCTGACAATATATACTAATAGACTTGTACTTAAAAAAAAGGAATGTTAGACAGTTGATGTTGATAGTAGATTATGAAACCAGTAGCTGCTTGTAAATAGGCTCACTGATTATGTATTATTTATTGATTGATTTTAACACTGTAATTAGCTAAGAAAAAGGCTGTACTTAGTTGTCATATAAAGCTCAAATGATGGCAAAATGTGACCTATAGGATCTTTGGTTAAAATAGGAAAAAGTATATATGTACTTGCATGGTGGCCTTTTTATTCCTTTCCCCATGGGAAGCCATGGTGGGGTCTGCAGGAAGCTAGTTTCACCATTTGGCTTCTGTCATGTCTCTTTGCTGGGGTATTTGGCACACTAACATATTTCAACATCAATTTGAACATATTTCAACATCAATTTCGGCCATACGCACATACTCCTTGGGGCCTTTTATCCGATGGGAAGCAGACAGTAAGGAGTGGATTGAGTTACTGAGTTTCACGTTGAGCACAGCTGACCACACATGCATGCAGTGTGAGATTTTTTCTTGGGTCATCTTCTAGTGTGCTGCTGGCCCAATATTGCCTTGGAAGCAGCAGCACTGAATTTTCCAGCTATAGGGCAAACCCTCTAGGGGCAGGAAACCGGCCAATGTTTTTACACAGCAGGTTACATGCCATTCAGTGGCATGCCAACAACAGTATAGGTTTCAGCTACAGCAAAGCAAATGGGAATGATAACACAAACATTGCTATCACAGCTTATCAGCAACAAATACAGTCCTTAGCATGTGCAAACTTTATCTGAAGGAGATTAGCTTAGTTCCTTACAACAGGTGGAATAACTCTCTCGCACGTGATTGTGACCACTGTGTACTAAAGTGCCCCCTATGATTAAAAGGGCAGGGTTTCTGGGTTTAAGTACACTCCCAATGACCTGCTGAATTCCTAATGGGGAAGCTGCTCAGTCACAATGCTGGCCTTATTGGATCCCACACACTCAAATGCCAAAGATCTTTGGATTAGTAACAGGTAGGCATTTCTGAAATAGGAACTTCTCATAAAAAGCACATATCAGGACTAGAAAGAGGTCAAAAGAAGGCTTTTAAAAGCCACAGTCCATGTCAGTCCAAACAGTGGAGCAAATTCTCCTGTGAGCATCTGATCATCACACAATGAACAAAATTGCTGCAACTCTGGGTTCATAGAAAATAATATACTCATCACAGTTCATTTTTCATCACTGTTTCCAACATTACTTCTCCTCCACTACTTCACTTCAATACCATTATAATACACTGATCACAGACTTTAAAAATATCTGTACTCTTGAGTTTGCAATCAAGCAAAATGTGATGAATGAGACATAAGGAATGAGAGTTTATTTGGTACAAAATACCAGCCATGTGCTCTTACAAAATAGTTATTGTATATGACTAACCTAGGTAGTTCATGTGAAGGACACAACTGGGGTATGTTACAAATGGTACAATCTACCTACTACTATGTTGATTTTCCAACCACATTGTTTGACTGATTAATTTATGAAACTGCTTCCAATCGTTCTCCCAATTTTTGTGCCCAATTTTAGTGCCACCAGGAGTACTAATTTCAGGATTATAATTTTTCTAGATGTAACAAAATATTTTATATGTGGAAGGTAACTGTTATTCATCTTTGTTGCTGTGGGAACAGCAGGAGCTTAGAAAATAGCAAAACTGCTGTTGTAAAAAGTGGCATCCTGTGGGGAAAGCTAAGCCGAAGCAATTCTTTAATATAGTTCACTTGTCATATATTGGAGGAAATACTGTTGTTACTAACTTTTGTGCTGCTTCATTAGATTCAGTAATGGGATGGATCTGGGCTGTACCATATAGTAGAGTCCACACATTTTTATTAAAAATATTGTTTAGATAAATGTTGGGACATACCTATTCACAGTACTATGTTTTATTCTATAGGTCCTACTTGGGGAATATGTGCTGTTATGAAAGCCACATTCACTCTGCTGTATTTAAAAAAAGTTTAATCTGAATACCCATATTTAACCCAGTAAGATATATGCTAAAACTGAGCAATTTTGTAATGCTTTATTGTGGTACAAAATATATTATTGCTAAGAAGCACTAACCTACTGAATATATTGAAGAAGAGCTGCAACAAATAACTTCCCTACAGAAAATAAAGCTGAAGGTTCCTGCTGTCACATAACCAAGGAAGCCTCTGTAACCGTTGAGCACATATAACCCGAAGCTGCAGGTATAGATACTAAACAAGTAGGAGAAATCTGTAGATTTCACATCATGACAGAGTCCAGAGCCAACAACCACTCACTCTCACTCTCTCTAAGCAAGCAGTACTCTCAAAAGTTAGTAAGCACCATTTCTGGTAAAATATGAAATACTGACTATATAGAAAACCTGCTAACAATACTGTAACTTTCCACTAAACAGATATAATTTAAATAGTTTTTCTAAAACATATTTTTTAAAAGAAGTGCAAATTAAAACAATTAACTCTAGCATCCTGCATTTCAAGATGTAGAGCAATTTCATCCCTTCCCGTATAATAAAGCAAGCATATAGTCAGCAAATATATATACTGCCATTGTTGACCTCTTTTTTTGAAAATGCCTGCCCCCTTGATGTCAAGCTGCTCCTAGGGCCTGATCATTTTCTGAGCTGTGGCATGGCCGGAAGATCTTACTTTGCTTCCTGCATGTTTAGCTCAGAAACAAAATGAGATTGAAGAGCTCAGTAATGGAACTAGCATTTTCAGAAGGAGGTAAAAATGGAAGCCTCCATAACTTTTTCAGTATAGGATTCCCTTAACCCCTTCGTGACTGACGACGCTGAATATAACATGGGTGCAAAAAATGAAAAAAGGGCCTCAGTCATGAAGGGGTTAAAGTCATAATTTGAAGAAGAACTCTGGAGAATATAAAAAGCGGGACTGTATTATAAAAAGAAAAAATAGCTATTGTCAGATAACAAACGTAACTAATTTCATGGAAATGGGAAAACAGTTAACATATATCCCAGAACTTGAAACCCTTGAACATCTTGCTCCTGCTTCTTCCCTAAATACAGTGCACCAACAGTTATCTTTTTTGCAAGCAGTTTTTGACAGGCCTATGATGCATAAGAGCAGTCTCTGTCAGTCTCTTACACTCTCCATACAGTAATAGTGGATTGAAAGTAGAGTTGACTATTGAAAAGATAAATAAAAACTGCTTTGATCAAGAGATACAAATTAGCTCTTGCTGTTAAACCATGGTGATTTAACCATGCGTATTCCCAGGAAGCCACACCTATGTTTCTCTTTGGCATCCTGTGCACACCCTATAAAAGGTAGACCTTCACTCTCATTTCCTCGTGTGGGTCAATGTCACATCAGACGCAGTGTATAGTTGAAACCCTGTTTACTTACAGCTCCAATATATAGAATTTTTCAAATTTTCTTCCATAAAAAGGGTATTTACCCATTAAAATATCAATGCTCCTCTTTGGTCAATGCCTGGAACCACCTCTGGTCAATTTAATTTATGAATGCAACAAACAGAAACATTTGCCAATAAACAGCTGCACATTTATTCTTACCCTTATGCAATATTACCTTAATATATTGGCAATGCCCTAGAATGAAGGGTCCCAGTGAAAGTGACAACATTTTAAAATGACAATATACTATCTCCTGCACCCACTTTAAATATGTATACAAACACCAGCAGTACAGTATTTTTACATGTGCATTTTAACAAGCACTGAGGATGTGAATTATGTATATAGCCCTTCCACAAACATTGGTGATTTTACAGGTGGGCTACTTTGATTTAGTTACAATAAATATATTGTAGACAATAAAGCAGGTAGGACCAACATTATCAAACACAACAGTAGCAGGAAAATCTGCTGTTTCCAAATGTATTGCAAAGGAAGAGCAGGCTTATTCATCACTCCAAAGAACCTGACATTAATGACCAGCTTGTTCATCTTTACAGTCCCAGCAGGATGGTGAATCTAACACACTGTGGCTAGCAAAGTGGACAATTACATATCATAGTGAATATGCACTACTTTTTTAGTAAATCATATGACTTTATGCTGGTGTACCTTCCAAACCTTCTCCTCAAAACACTCTTTGGTTGCTGCTCAAGATCTCCCGCTATATCTAAGACATTATAGTTGAAGAACTACATGAAAAAAAATTGTCATTGTCAATAATGATGGTGGACAATGGTCATGGTGGTGGTCATACTCGGACTGTTAGAGTTAAGAATCATTTAATGCCATAGGTTCTATTCTCTTGCACTACTGAACGTGACCTTTGCTCCCACTGAGATTTGTGAGGTCAAATTCCAGGTAAGGCAGTTTGAAATGTGGCAGCGACATTGTGTGCGGAACTCCTCTTTGAATTACTTTGCATACTTTGCAAAATATACATGATTACACTTTTTTTTGGAGCACCGAGCCTAATAAAGATGAGCCAATTTTCCACCATCAGTTAGGTCCCTATCCAAAACCAAATTACATCAAATGATGCCAAATTAAACCAAATGATGAAAAAATACACAATTCTGTGGTTTAATATTTCATAAGACCCAAACCTAATTCCAAAGGAGAGCTGAGAAAATATTCAATGGAAATCAAATTAGGATATCATAAAATTACTAGAATGTGTGAATAATGATAGTATGTAAGAAATCACACACTTTCCTAGTAGGTCAAAACTTAGTGGACCCATGTAGAAACTCTGCAGAAAACAAATGCACTAAAAAGGTACGGAGTTTAAAATTTGTCCTCTGTGACATATGATCATATACTTTGCATATAGGTGATATTCTAAGTGACTGGTTCTCCTGATAAGATGATAAGAGCTCTTACCAGACATCTTCAGCATCTTCATCACACTCTGCTCCAAACTGACAAATGTCACATGTTGATGTCTCCTTTTGACTCGTCTCCCCAGAACCTTCATTGGCTGTAAGATACAAACATTAAGACAATGAGAACTGCAACTCAATTATAGTTCAGTTGGAGATTAAAAAAGCATACAATTCTGTAAAGCTATCGACAACCACAACATACGGCACATTCCATACCTATAGATACTGTTAAACACATCAGGCTACAAATAATAATTAAATATCAAATAAAAATGTACATAAACTGCAATAGAAGAAATGTGATTTAGACCAAAGTTTGTCATTTACAGTATATTAGATGCACCATTTGACGTTTGAAAGTGAGGATTGGAGAACATTATTTTGATGGTAGTAATCTTAAAACCAAACTGCTTTTTATTAGTACATGAAGTTTTTTTTTTTTACATGAAGTTTATGTAACAAGGTTTGCATTCCACAATTGAGTGTTTGTTTTTAAATGTGGAAATGATTTGCACGGTAGATAACTTAAACTGAAAGTCTTTTGTATTTTTTATTTAAGACTGAAGCACCTAATGGGTTTAACTATAAACAAAAAATAATAAATAGATGTAGAAACCTGCATAATTTATTTAGATCAAGTGTTCGCAAGTGACCATTAAAAAGTATCAGATATGACAATTAATTTTCTTCTTTTTTAAAAAATAAAAACCCCAGTGGTGATTAAATACCACCAAAATAAAGCTCTATGTGTCCCCAAAAAAGGGTATAAAATTCATTTCAGTACAGCGCTGCATGACGGAATAAATGTCAGTCAAAGTACCGCAGCGCTGAATACTGAAAAATGGCCTGGATGGGAAGGGGGTTTAACACCGTGGATGTCAACTGGTTAAAGTAGTTATATACAGCTGCAGTGTTCAAGCCAGTTTATGATGAGGTGGTTAATTTCATTGTATAACTATGAACGATGACAATAATACCAAAGAAGATTTAATTAATCTATACATAACCAATACGCAATAGAGAATGCTAAGTATTGTGAGATTAATTAAAATTCATGGGATAATGTGCATCTATTTGACAGACCAGATACATACAGTAAGAGAATTGAGGCTGCCTAATGTTAAAAACAATGCCAGCACCCAGAGGAGCCCTTCAAATATGTTTCACATCACATCCCCCCTGCTAAAAAATGATATATTTAGCTCATGATATGTTGACCATTTCAATAATTGATATATTCATAAATAAAAGAATAAAGTACATTAAATAACTAGAGTATTTGACATTCATGGTGGATCATTTTTAACACTAAAATGTTCTAAATGAAGAAATAATTTCCATTAATACTTACATAGTTACATAGTAGGTAAGGTTGAATAAGGACAGAGGTCCCTCCAGTTCAACCTATGCATGTTCGTGTCTGTATGTGTGTTTCACGAAAATTATTACCCTCTTATTATTTTCCATACCCTATATATTGTGAACTAAGAAACTCATCTAGAAGTTTCTTGAATTTATAAAAGCTATCAGTGGGCACCACTGACTGTGGGAGGGAATTCCACAATTTTACTACTCTCACACTAAAAGAACCTCTACAAAGTGTAAGATTAATCCTCCTCTCTTCTAACCTCTTGTTGTGTCCAAGTGTCATAAACAAAATTATTGGAGTAAACATTTTTTCCCTAATACTTCGGTCCCCATTAATGATTTTAAAAATTGCAATCAGGTCCCTTCTTAAGCACCTCTTTTCTAAAGAGAATAGGTTTAAGTTCTGGGGGCGATCTTCGAATCTCAGGCCTTCTATCCCCTTTATTTATTTAGTAGCCCTTCTCTGAACTTTTTGTGGACATCTTTTCTGAGGATTGGTGCCCAAAACTGAACCGCATATTCAAGGTGTGTCTGAACTAGTGATTTATAAAATGGTAAAATTATATCTCTATTCCTCGATAGGATCCCTCTTTTAATGCAAGATAATATCTTGCTTGCCGCTGCATGGAATTGCATAATATTGCTAAATTTATGAAGACCCCCAGGACTTTTTCAGTGTCTGCCCTCCCCAGTGCAGCACCCTCTAGGTAGTAGTTTGCATACAGGTTCTTTGCTTCCATGTGCATAACCTTACATTTTTCCAGATTAAATTGCATCTGCTATCTTGCCGCCCATGCCTCAATTTTATTTTCAGTCCTGTTGTAGTGAATTTATGTCTAGTTTAGAATTAACTCCCCTACACAGTTAAGTATCAGCTGCAAAAAACGGAGACTGGACAATTTATTTGACGGAATAAACGTCAGTCAAAGTACCGCAGCGCTGAATACTGAAAAATGGCCTGGCCAGGAAGGGGGTCTAAACACCTGGTCTTGAAGTGGTTAAAAAAAACCAAAAAAACATTTATTACTACTCTTACTTATTGCTACAAAATTAAAATAAAAGATTATAACAATGCCCAGAATTGAAACACTGCAGACATAGAGACATTACATTATTGGTCAGTAGAGAAATGCCGCCTTACACTGGTATTTACTGAAATGGGTCCCATTTACTTTGGTGATCAGTGGGAGATATGCCTCTTTACAATGATGCTCAGTGAAGGGAGAAATAAAACCTTACATTATGTTCAGTAAAAGAAGAGTCCTCTTTCATCTATGTTTAGTGAGAATGCCCTTACATTTGCGGTCAATGGAACAAATTCACCATTTCATTGGGGTTCGGTGGGAAGAAAGCCCCTTACATTGGTAGTCAGTGGAAGGAATGCCCCCTTTAAATTGGTGCCCATTGGGCAGAATACCGCCCTTATATGGAGCTAAAAAAGATAATTGATGTTTTTCCACTGACTCTGCCAGGTGACTTTGAACCCAGAACTATGGAGGCAGTCCCAGATGGGGGTTGGGTTAATCTGCCAATGCTCAGGAAATCCCAAGCAACCTCTATAGGCACTCTAGGGTTTCAGTGAACCCTAGTAGAGAAAGGCTGCTGTAGCTGGTTCTCAGGAACTTTAACCATCTATACATACCATATTTGCTATTACTGAAAATGTTAGTTGTTCAGGAAAATTCTGTTTTCTGCATGAATATAGTTGAAGAGAGCTGGGAATGTAAAATCAATCACTATCTCTTATATTTACAAAGCATCTATTATTAGAGGAAATGTCAAAGAACCCTGGTTTCGATAAAGAACATTCGCTTTGAGAAAGGACTCTGTACTTTATTGAAATGTATTATATACTAAACAAATCACCTTCATGCTTGTTTCCATTCGTAAATATAGACAGATGTCTGTGCTGTGAAACATATTGGCAATGTGGTTGTTTTTATGATTTACATTGTCCAGAACTGTTTTAAGAAAGCTGTTTATCTTGTTTGCTAGTAAAATTGGTTTCCATCATCCTGGTTTTGACAGTTTTATTGACAGAAAGACACTATATAAAAATTGTTGTACCATCTTAACAGACAACGCTGACTTTACTAAAGTCAGTGTTATCACAAGTTTCGGTCAGCTTGAGAAGTCACATTCATCAACATAACTGCAAATCAAAAAAGTTTTTTTTTTATATGCCATGTCCAGGAATCTTTTCATTTGTTTCTAACACTGTACATAATATGAACATCTTGTTAGTAAACAACGCACAGTACCAAGAGTGTTTCTATGAGACTTTCATGATGATGAAGAAGAAATGTGATCAAGACAAAAACGTTTTCTCTAGCATTCAATGTCAGAGAGGCTCACATCTCTCCATGTTACCCATTAACAATATTTCTCACTTTCTGAAGCTGCTGAACTGATATGTAAATTAACTTAGCTGAACCCAATACCCACAATAACTTGTTGTCTACACTTGCCATGTTTTATCATCACTGAGAATTAGTAGGAATCATGCTGTGTCTGTACTGCAAGAAGTGTTGTTGTTGTTTTTTTTGTTTTGTTCTTGGTTTGGATTTACTTCACAATGTACATAGTAAGATAAGTGTATGCATGCTTGAACCAGGGGAACCCAATACTCTTTTTTTTTTCTACATTTTTTCTTTCGCAGAAAAGCTTGTTACCGGCATAGCGGGTATTATTATGCTGCATGTTTTGAGGGATAAAAGTAATAGTTTGGGACCAGAAAGGTCCAATTTTGAAACATTGCCAAACCATGTGTAGAATATCCCCATCAGCAGCTTGACATTTGTGACAGAGTGGGGTGTCTTGCTTTCTTATTTTAACACCTTCATGACTGAGCTTGTTTTTAGTTTCTGTTCGTAAATGACTGACACACTTTTGACATTTTTGCTGTGTGATTCTTCCACGTCATTAATATACTTTCTTACAAAGTGCACCCACACATATTATATATTGTTTTTTAGAGGACAGATAGGCCTATATAATTATATCACATATGTGTGTCTAACGCCTCACTCACGGCAAATAAAATATAAAAAAAAGGAAAAAACTTTAAAAAAACACTTTTTTCCCAGTTTTGATTTGTAGTATTTTTTACAAAACCAGCACAGCTAAAAAAAATGCAATAAATACATTCATTTATTTGTCCTTTATTTTTTATTTTTTTATGTGATTTAATCTCACTATTACTGCTTGATAAATTAATAAAAAATTTTGGTTATTATTAGGCTGCTTCATACTTCAGAACAGCCAATAATAGGTTAGTGACACTGATCCTGCAGCAGTTCAGGATTCAGCTGTCACTAAATGTTTTCTGAACGTTCCAACAACGATCAGAAAAATGAAACATTTTTCTTTCAGGAATAGATACATTATGTATCTATTCCTGAAAGTGAAAGAAAAAAAAAGCCAGTATATGATCCGAGAGAGATATCTCTAGATCTATACGAGCTGTCAGAATGCCGGCTTTTGCCGGTATGTTTGCCCGCTCTGCTTTGACTCTCAGACACCCGATATTAACGTATCAGGTGTCTGAAAAAGGTTAACCCTTTCATTAATGAATGCCTCTATACTGAAAAAGGCAGAAAATCCCCAGCACTCAGTAATCAAAAGCAAGTATGTCCTTTTATTGGACAGCGGCGTCATAGAAATCAAAGAAACCGACGTATCCGGGCCACGCAGGGTTCCTTCCTCAAGGCAGAAGACATGACAACAA